GACAGCGAGGGGGGGTTATGGAGGGATGAGACAGTGACACGGGGGGGGTTAAGCAGGGATGAGACAGTGAGATGGGGGGTTATGCAGGGATGAGACAGTGACTTGGGGGGGTTATGCAGGGATGAGACAGTGAAACCGGGGGGTTATGCAGGGATGAGACAGTGAGTCCGGGGGGTTATGCAGGGATGAGACAGTGAGACCGGGGGGTTATGCAGGGATGAGACAGTGAGACCGGGGGGTTATGCAGGGATGAGACAGCAAGACAGGGGGGTTATGCAGGGATGAGACAGTGAGACAGGGGCAGGGTTACACAGGGATGAGACAGTGAGACGGGGCAGGGTAATGCAGGGATGAGACAGTAAGACAGGGGCAGGTTATGCAGGGATGATATGGGGAGACACAGCAGCTTCCCTGAGGGACTCTCACTCTCAGAGGGAGGAGACAGGTAAAGAGATTTTGTGACCATAAATGAGTAAACACCAAAATAAATCTTTCATGGGAACCCAGGGAGGGCACTTTCCTTAGGCCGGGTGTCAGGAGACTTGCAGAGAGAAGCATGCGCTGAGCCTGAACCACACATTTGTACAGGTAAGAGGGGCTACTGGAGAGCTGTAGGTGGAAGGCAGAGGGAGCGGATGAACAGGGGAAACACTGTAGTGCAGGGGAGAAGGTGGCGGGTGTGAATGGGACAAGGCCAGAGAAAGCAGCTCAGGAGAGCATGCAGGAATTCAGGTGAGAGGAGAGGCACTTGGGGATAACATACTTGGAGACAAGGGGAAATGCCCAAGAAATGCTGGAAGAGGTCGACATCGGCAGGGCCCATCGCTTACTGCCCTTCAGGATGGTTTCTGAACTTCTTTTCCTCTTTGAAGAGGAATATGTTACATGGCATTTCAGCCTCCTAACTCGGAATCCAGTGACAGTAATGTTTTGGGTTTCTCTCAATCATTTATCAGATAAAAGTATCAGTCTGCTGAATTTTACTATTGCATTTGGTATACATTAGAAAACTATGCAGCAACTATCTGTTTAAACCCCACATAATAGTTAACTTTAATGACACAATAGGTGAAGTATCTAAAGAACAACTCACAATCTGTTCTATGCTATAATAGAGCAGAACGTCAATGGTATGTCAATGGTATCCGGAACAAGGAGAAGGCCCACATGGCAGACCTCGTTACAGGGGTAAGGGGCTCACCCTCAGTGTTATCAAAAAGCAAGGCACTTTATTAATTGATTGATTTTTTTTTTTTTTTGAGACAGGGTTTCACTTTGTTGCCCAGGCTGAAGTGTGCAGTGGCACAATCACAGCTCACTGCAGCCTCAAGCTCCCTGGGCTCAGGTGATCCTCCTGCCTCAGCCTCCCAAGTAGCTGGGACCACAGGCATGCACCATCATGCCCAGCTAACGTCTGTATTTTCTGTAAAGACGGGATCTCACTATGTTGTCTATGCTGGTCTCAACTCCTGGGCTCAAGTGATCCTCCCACCTTGGCCTCCCAAATTATTTTACAGGCATAGGGCATAAGCCACCACCCCCAGCCACAAGGCACTCTAGAATAGGTGGCTCGTGGCACCTATTGTAAAACCTCTTCTAAAACCCTATTCTAACCCACAGAACAGGGTTTTACTATGTGTCATACAGATAAATGTTTGAGTGTTGATTTCTATGTTTGCCACATTGTTTGCTAGCTTCATTGTCACTAGAAATAACACATACTGCCTATCTGTGCTTCCATTCTTTTTCTGTTTTTAATCGCTGGCTGGCTGGGTACAAAATTTTTCTTTTTTCTTTTTTTTTTTTTTTGAGACGGAGTTTCACTCATGTTACCCAGGCTGGAGTGCAATGGCGCAATCTCGGCTCACTGCAACCTCCGCCTCGTGGGTTCAGGCAATTCTCCTGCCTCCGCCTCCTGAGTAGCTGGGATTACAGGCAGGCGCCACCATGCCCAGCTAATTTTTTGTAGTTTTAGTAGAGACGGGGTTTCACCATGTTGACCAGGATGGTCTCGATCTCTTGACCTCGTGATCCACCCGCCTCGGCCTCCCAAAGTGCTGGGATTACAGGCGTGAGCCACCGCGCCCGGCCCCAAAATTTTTCATACCTTGAAACCAGCCTGACCAACATGGAGAAACCCCGTCTCTACTACAAATACAAAATTAGTTGGGCTTGGTGACACATGCTTGTAATCCCAGCTACTCTGGAGGCTGAGGTAGGAGAATCACTTGATCCTGGGAGGCGGAGGTTGCAGTGAGCCGAGATGGCGTTACTGCACTCCAGCCTGGGCAACAAGAGCAAAACTCTGTCTCAAAAAACAAACAAACAAAAATGTTCATACCTTCATGGGGTCAGAGGGGACAACTCAAGTACTCACATACAAAGATGTTCAATTTTCTACGTCTGGTATTCTAAAATACTACCTAAACATACTCGAGCATACTTTCCTTTTTTTTTTTTTTTTTTTTTTGAGACAGGGTCTCACTCTGTCAACCAGGCTGCAGTACATGGAGCAATCTCGGTTCACTGCAACCTCTGCCTCCTGGGCTCACGTGTTCCCCCAACCTTAGCCTCCACAGTAGCTGGGGCTATAGGCACCCACTACCACGCACAGCTAATTTTTGTGTTTTTTTGTAGAGATGGGGTTTTGCTACGTTGCCCAGGCTGGTCTTAAACTCCCAGGCTCAAGTGGTCCACTTGCCTCAGCCTCCAAAAGTGCTGGGATTACAGGTGTGAGCCACCACTCAGCCTCAAGCATATTTCTCAAAGGAAAAAAGTCAGTGCTTTGAATGGTACAGCTATCAGGAATCCCTCCTGTTGTTTTGGGTTTGTTTTTTTTTTTTTTTAAAATCACTGAATACTTTGTTTTTGCTTTGTTTTGAATTTTAAGCCAAAGAAAAACTTAAAACTTTTAAGTAGGTAACACATTTGCATGGTTCTCAAAAAATCAAAAGCAGATAAAAAAAGAAAAGTCCTCCCTGTCAGCCCTTTCCTATTCCCACATCATCCTCCAACTTGGTAGCACATTCTCACCTTCTCCAACTTCCTTCCAGAATTTCTTTATGCAAATGTTTGCATTTCTGCATCCTTTATGACAAAAGCCAGCACACTGTAGGCAGCCATCTGCACTTTTGGCTTTTCTCACTTCATTCATCTTGGAGGTCTTTCCATGCAAGTCCCCTGAGGGCACAGTGGTCTGCTGCAGGGAGCTGTGGAAACTCCTCTTATCATCCTCAACTTCCAGAAGCATAGGAAGGACCACAGTTCGGGATGTAATAAGGGAATTGGCAATAAAGGAGCCTCCAGGTAACAGACTTTTGCTACTGAAGTCTGGAATGCTTCTCCCTCCATGCCACATGGCCATAAAGGCAAGAGATGTCAGAGTTTGCCACAGGGGACAGGAAACATGGCAGTAGCAGTCATTATAGCAGACCCCTCTATGTCGGCACATCTAGTAGAAAGCTCTTTTGGTTTAAGAACATTAACATCACGTGACAGGGAGATTTTCTCACGTCCAAAGACTCATGTATATGGGCATAATGATCTTTGCTGCAGCATCAAAAGCTGGGAACAGAGCAGTTCCCAGTTGCAGTGGCTCGTGCCTATAATCCCAGCACTTCAGGAGGCTAAGGTGGGAGGATCACTTGGGCCCAGTAGTTCAAAACCAGCCTGGCTAACATAGTGAGACCCTGTCTCTACAAAAAATGTAAAAATTAGCCAGGTGTGGTGGTACACGCCGGTAGCCCTAGCTACTCTGGAGGCTGTGGCAGGAGAATCACTTGAACCAGGAAGGTTGAGGCTGCAGTGAGCCAGGATCATGCCCCTGCATTCTAGCTGCAGCCTGGGTAACAGAGTGAGACCCTGTCTCTAAAAAAGTGAAAATAAAAATAAACTTTAAAAAAAGCCAGAAATGACATAAACTTTATCAGCAAAGGCTACTTAAATAAACAACAGTCGCCGGGCACAGTGGCTTATGCCTGTAATCCCAGCACTTTGGTAGGCGGAGGTGGATGGATCACGAGGTCAGGAGATTGAGACCATCCTGGCTAACACAGTAAAACCCATCTCTATTAAAAATACAAAAAAATTAGCCAGGCATGGTGGCACATGCCTGTAATCCCAGCTACTTGGGAGGCTGAGGCAAGAGAATCACTTGAACCCAGGAGGCAGAGGTTGCAGTGAGCCAAGATCGTGCCACTGCACTCCAGCCTGGGCAACAGAGCGAGACTATGTCTCAAAAATAAATAAATAAACAAACAATAGTCTAACCACACAATGGAATACAATGCAGCTCTTCAGCAGAATGAGGTGAACCTACATGTGTTCATGTGGAATAATCTGTTATAATATTTTTTTGAAAGTATAGAATTGCGAATCATGTGTTGTTACTGTGTGTGTGTGTGCGTGTGTGTGTGTGTGTGTGTGTGTGTGTAAGGGAATACACACCTCTATAAATTAGCAGACTGACTTTAGGAAGGGGAACAGGAAGTCAAAAGCATTCACTGAAAATCTGCTGTTTTTCTGTATTCCGTAAACTCATTCATGAGTTTTTCTCTTCCTT